TGAACATTGAGCAAGCACTGACGCACGTCACTCAGTTCGCTTTTTCCGAATCGGATCTCTCTGTTCCATTGTACGCTGCACGAAAAAAGAAGCACCTAGCTCTGTTACGAGTTTTCTTATTGCGATTGCAGAAAACCGCTCTTTTGAGTATCTGTCATGCCTTGAATGTTACTTTCCTTCAAACGAATCAGAATACCTACTTTTCACAATGTTGTATGTAGCGGTATAAGATGCGGAAGAAAACAAATCTGCACATTTAGTCAACTAGTCCTCACCGCAGTGTTCAATGAATAAAGTCTAGACATGGGCGTGGGCGAGACGGGTGGTGCAAAAGGGGCACTTGACCCCTTCAAGCCGCACCAGCACTTGCTACCCACTCTAGCGACACCAACACGACCCTCAGCCAAGATGCAAGTTGAAAGAAGGGTTTGCTTACCCCCAAGACAAAAACATGTCGATGGCCATATGTGCAGATGAGAGCAAATGCAATATTTGCTCAGATACACAGTCCACACTGGTCACGACCTGGAGTTCCATTGACCACGCCTGCAGAGAACGTTGACTCCCCAACCCCTTTGTGCTCGGTCAGGGGAGGGGAACACCCCTTGTAAGTGGGCCCCACTAAAATTTCTCTTAAAAACGTCCCAAATAACAATGCTTGATAAGTATGTGTAAAACATTCAACTTTTTAATGCTTTTTTTTGTAGCGTGTACACGTGCTCAATACCCATCGAGTGTGTGAGACAATTGAAATCGCAACTGCCACTCTCGACTGGTTCCGGAAAAGACTCAATAGAAGAATGCAATTACGAGTGCTGGGAACCTACGTTCGTTTGTCAATTTGATTTCTAGGCATGATTTTATTTCTTATATAAACAAAAATAAAACCTGCAAAATATTAAAACAAAATGGCTGCTATTGCAAGATGTGTGTCCCCCCTCGTGATTTTTCTAGACTTACGCGTTTGCAAGCCACATCTGGTGTCACAAACTTGCAAGTGCCCCCCCCCCCCTCCTCCGCACGACATCTCCCAATACCCCCCTCCCCAATAAAAAGGAACCAATGTAGGCCTCCGTAGGCCTCCTTGATTGCCTACTGGCGCACGGCGGGCCATATCGGTTGCTAGGACCAACAGTAACGATTTCGACATGCTTTATTGAAGGTGCTGAAGGATCAAGAAAAGGCCGATTGTTGTAAATTTCTTGAGAGTTCAATGATAGAAACTTAGCCTACTCAAAATACCCAAAGACGTCGATCCACCTAGCAACGTGTGGCTACCGCTCACGGTTCTGTATCAAAATAGCATCCACAGTGGAACCTGTCGCATCTGCGGAAATTTTAACGCAACATTATTATACTGCCACTTCGCTTGTATTTTTATGTCACTGCCTAGCTCAAAGGCACCGCCATTGTGGTTCAGTAGCTAAGGTATACTCGGCTGCTGACTCGCAGGTCGCGCGATTGAATCCCGCCTCTGCATTTTCGATAGAAGCGAAAATGCTGTAGGCCCATGTGTTCAGATTTGTGTGCATGAAAGAACCCCAGGTTGTCATAATTTCTGGAGTCCTCCACTTCGGCATCTCTCATAATCATATGGTGGTTTTGAAACATTAAACACCACATATTAATCAATTGCCTTGCCCAAAGCACGCTTGGCTGTCTGAGAAAATTGTAAATTATTTTAGAATCTTCTGATAAGCTTGAGACATCTACACTACACATGATGTTCGATGCCACGGGTATATATAGCGACGTATCTTCACGCAGATCATATTACCGACGACCAATGCTCTAATTACTGCTATCTGCGTAAAGCGTGAATTTCTAGTACTTTGTACTTTTCTAGGCACACGTTCCCGAAAAAAAAAGTGTCGTCTTGAGCAACCCAAGTACCATATTCTTTGCCATCTCAACCACGTGGCAATATGGTGAGATGAGAACGGTGAAATGATTGATACAAAAGAGTGAGAGGGGGCGTAAGTACACGGCCAAGTTTTATTTAAGATGCGTATACCACAAGCTATTTTCTTCTATAGAACCAATATAATGCGGATTTGTTAAATTACTGTGAAGATGAATGTCAAGAAAGAAAGAACACGAACTTGGAAAGAGACAGTGTAGACGAAAAGTGACAGGTATCGACGTAAAGTTTGGTCGGTCATTCCACGCCAAACGTCCAAGGCGTTTTGGTGACTACCTCGGGTGTATTCGAAAAATGTCGGGCTAATTTACCCCATGAAAGCAGTGTATTGCGAAAATGTTTTGCAGAGAAAAATGTTTTTGGTCACCTTTATGTGACCAAAATACCGGCTATAGACTGGGCCCTATATCGAGTCCTGAGATAAAAGCACATTTACTGAGCGAGTCTATATAGGCTCCATTTATTTGGCCGATCTATGGTTCCGAATATTTACAGCCTCCTACTATGGCATGCCTTGTTGTCGTATTGACGTTCCTGCTTGTAAAGCCGAAAACTTTATTTTTCAAATGATAAAAATGTTCATATCTCCCCTCCCCGGAACTCATTCTAGGTCCTTTGATAAACACCAGTCATATATCTTTAAAAAAATGCTTGGATATCAACTATTCATAACTCTCATTTAAGGATGTGAAAATGAAATGACCGATGAGGTGAAATATTAACATTAAAAAGCATAGTAAATGTGACTGAAAAGCTAATTCTACGCTAAAACAGTGTAACTTGAACTAATTATGTCACCACGCCTCTAAAACCTCATGCAATGTATATTGCATACCTGGAAGGTGCAGTTATTCGAGCGCCTTTTGCAGTGAAATTTGGCCATGGAGTCGATCCCGTTCATGGTGGTGATATTTTTAAGTTTGACGTTTGAATATATAACGAAGCATTAGGAAGTTCTTTCCGTGAAACCCGTATTTTTTTGGCGATGTAATTGAGGATTGTATGCATTGTGTTGGCACGAAGTTTAATGTAGGTGATGTGTTTGTACAGTACACCGTTCGCTGACTGTGGTGAAATAGAAACAGCACTTTATGTTAATTCATGCTACAAAACTCACGTGATCTGCTCCCAGAGAACAGAAGAATACATAATGAAGTGCGTTACTAACGAACGGAAGAAATAAATATTTCTCGGTCTTTTAATGTTGTTTCTGTAATCCAATCTACAAACGTTTGTATTAAACAAGCATGATGGTACGGAGGCATGGAATTGGGTTCTGCAGCTTGTTGTAACACATGTGCCACTCCAGGTCACCTTTATTACGTGGCATCGGAATTTACACTGAGCTTGATCTATGATTATGTACCTAATCAACGAAGAATGAGTGCTAAGCTCCAGATTCATTATTAATGTGGCTTCAAAGACGAGAAAGCAGCACGATTCGTGAGCAATCGAGCACACGTTCTTTCTATATATTGCGTTGAACTGCTTGTGCCCTCAGATGCCACTTCAGTTTTTTTTCTTGAATAAATGTGGCGATTCGGAAAGTTGTGAGCACTAAAGAAGACGTTAAGAAGAACCACAGATTCATCCATTCAGGGGAAGCTTGCATGCAGTAACTGGTTTGGAGAGACAGGATGGGTGCTTGTGAACGTCATGAGGAAGCATTAGTTTGCGCTAAAAATTTCCCTATAGCAATGCGCCATCTGGCTGGATTTCAAGTTTTGTTAAAATGTATGATGACACTGACCATGGGCTTTTGTCATGTAATTTGCTACCAATTAAACAGCGGCTGCGTAGTTTAGGGTACCATGAAAATTCTCACGGCCATATTTCAAGAAGGAAGGAGGCAGAAACGCACCGTTCATGCCGTGCGTGATCCTTCATCACTCGCGGAAATAAATTTATTCAAGCTGAAACCTGGTTGAAGAATTCTTTTACCTCTCAGCCATCAGAGAGGCTTTTAATTCTCGAGTCTCTTTGTGAAATATTGCTGCCTTCTTTTTCCAAACAGCCTGCAGTTCTGTTGTACCGACACAACATAGCAATGCCCTTGTTTTTCTAGATTTTTTTTCATTTCCATTTAAACACTTTTCCATACACAGTCATCTTTGAAGCACGTAAGAACTTCCTGTCGTCCCTCACCATTGCGTTTTTCCAGTCCACACTGCAAAATGCTTGATGGCAAAGTCGTTTTCCACGCTCAAGTTTCTCGTACCCAATCTTTCGCGCTCTTTGTGCTCTTCAAAGAATGCAGAAAGACTACAAAACGCAACGAGCTCTACACCTTGCCTTCGGGACTGGTATGGGGCAAACATGTTGCGAGTGGTGTCCCAGTGTTCTGCCATTGTGCTTCGTACGTTGTTCCCTGCGCTCAAGCTAGGTCGACATGCGGCGTCGTTGCGGCGCCATTGGTGTCCTGTTTCCCGCGTCTTTTCTTATACACAGTGTTCCGCGAATAAATGCCTCTGTGTAGCCGCTCGTGCCGAGGTCATGGATTACGTTTTTCCTTCCTTCCGGAGCTGTGGTGACAATGGGTGTTTGGATTATCCATTGTTTATTTATTCTAGTTTTCTCGTTTAGCTGGTTTTCTGTATTCTTGCCCAACAAAGGTAATCTAGGACATTTTTTTTTCTTGTGGGAATGGCCATAGGTATGTGCGTACGTGGTTGCAGCTCCACATTTCCAAGTCGTACGACTGGGACTGCCCTGCCAACGGCCCCTATTCTCTTTGGCGGCGTCTCCTGCGCCGCGCAGCAGCCATCCCCACACAGAAGTGGCTCCTGCGCCGCACGGAAGTGACGTCACTTAAAAAATTATTACCTAAAGCTAGTTAAATGTGTAAATTATTCGTGCATAATGCGTTAAACCTACAAAACTTTTACTAAGCAGGTGTTTGACGAGTCAATTAGCCTAGGTTTGTTGTTTAAATACATATTACAAGTATTTTGAATCCTGGGGGCGCCATGGGCGCTGCGGCTGGGAAAGGTAAACACTGCGAGATAATAGCTGCCTGCGATGCGTTAGGTGGTGAAAACTCCTCCCACAGGGTTCAGTACTGAGCCCCTTCCTCTTTAACATGGCACTAGCAGGACTTCCGGCGTCCCTCCCAACAGACACCAGGTTCCCGGCCCGCTGCTCCGTCTACGCAGATGACGTGGCACTCTGGGTCCGGGGACCAAGGCGGTTCATCCCAGCCATCAGGAGATCACTGCAGGTGGTCCTCGATGCAGTGATAACCTACCTCGGAGGCATCGGGCTTAAGGTCTCTGCCACCAAGACCGAGGCCCTGCTGATTCACCCACTGGCGGCAGCTCGCACCCACGTGAGACGGCTGAGGGTTGGTAACCGCAGCCTTCCTTGGAGGCTGGTGGTGAAGTACCTGCAGCTCACCATCGACCACCGGCTCACGTGAATCCCGGCTGCCAAGGCTGCTGCCACCAAGGTGCGGCGCGTCCAGGGCGCCATCAGCAGGCTGCAGCTGCGTGGCCGCGGCTGCTCTACCAAGTGGGCCCTCCGGCTCAACCAGGCTGCGGCGTCCTCGGTCCTCCTGTACGCCTTCCCGCTGGTGAACCTGACACCGGCCAGGAGACGCCTGCTGGAGGGACTCCACAGGGGTGCACTGAGGGCCATCCTGGGGCTTTCCAAAAGCTCACCGGTGGCAGTGACTCTCGCGGAGGCAGGAGAGTGGCCCCTGACGTTACGTATGCTCCAACGTGCGCTGGGCCACATCGACCGCCTTCACCACGCCACCGACGGCAGGGCCCTCCTGGAGCGTCTCCGCAGTCAGCCAGGATCACGGATGGGAGGCCTCTGCCTGCTGTACCACCAGATGGTCCCAGATCCGCCAGTCCCGGTTGCTTCTCCACCACCACACCACCAGCCACCAGAGGTCCACCTCTGCTTGGAAGGGGCAACCAAGAGACGGACGCCTGTGGCCGCACTGCAACAGGTGGCCTCCTGCAAGCTCCAGGAACAACTGGAGGGACGGCTGCAGGTGTTCACGGACGGATCTGTGATGACAGACGGGACCGCAGCGGCCGCATGCGTAATCCCGTTCAGAGCCAACAGCAGGCAGTGCAGGCTACCCTTCCCGGCGAGCTCCACGGCTGCGGAACTGGCTGGACTGCATCTCGCGGTAGACCTGTTGGCTGAGGACATCCCCCTTGAGCCGGCCGCGGTCCTGTGTGACAGCAAGGCGGCCGTGCAGACCCTGGCCAACTCCCGCCGCGCCGGACTGACGGCCTGCCTCCTGACAGCCAAGGTTCGCGCCCTCACCGACGCCGGGGTGTCCGTCGCCTTCCACTGGCTGCCCTCCCACGTGGGCATCGCTGGAAACGAGAAGGCGGACACACTCGCCAAGGCTGCCCACCAGCCTAGTACTCCCTACTCCTGTGCCGTGGCGGCCAGGGACTATTCACAGGCCCGTCTTAAGAGGCTCCTCGTCACAGTCCACCCAGACCCGAGGGTGGCCAGCGGGCGAGGACCAAAGCCTCTCCCAGAGACGGGCCTCACCAGGAGAGAACGGGCCTCCCTGTGGCGACTGCGGACCGGCTGCGTGTGGACAGCGGCCCACCGCCACGCCAAGGGCCTCTGTCCCTCCCCGGCCTGCAGCCGTTGCGGAGACCCAGAAACCCTCGAACACCGCCTCTGTGCCTGCCCTGGCTTAGCACAGGAACGCTTGAGGGCCTACACGGCCTACAGGAGACAGGGTCTGCCCGTCTACACCCTGGAAGACCTGCTGTTCCCGTCTCGTCCACATCCAGCAGCACTCCGCAGCCTGGCGCAGTTCGTGGAGGAATCAGGAATTGCTGCCTACCGTTGATCCCAGGAGCCATGCTGCCCTTGCCCTTGCCGACGGCCTGCTGCTCGCGCTGAAGCGGACCGCACATCCCTCCGTACACACCACACACTATTTCTCCTATCCTCCTTGATCCCCCTCCACACCACCCCTAAGGCACTGCGCCGTGTCGCCTGTAGGCAGACAGAAATTAGGTGCCTTCTTCCTTTTCCTCATGAACCACTAACAACAAAACTCCGATGAAGTCGTGGCCATGGTTTGGGCCACTCCCAAGGAGGACTGGAGTGTCGTCGCTGCTTCATGTGATGGCTGGATGCTTAGTTGAACCTGGTGGCTGGAGTTAGCACGGCCGTCCACTGTGCCGCAGCGTTATCTGAGTGTGTGCGCCATAAAGTTTCTCAGTATGATGTGCGGATTACAGTCGTTGGACGTACTGAATTTTCTAGATTGCAATGCCAAGCGTGGTGTTGTCAAAGGTGAAAGTGTTCTTGCTGCTGAGTTTTGCTTGTCGCGAAGGACAAGGTCGATGATGAAATAAATGCTTTCGCATGGTTCACGTGTGACTGACCGGACGCACATGCATGAAACCCCAGTGCGTCGGCGAAGTGTTCATACGATAGATGGAAACAATTTTATTGTAATGTTCTTACGAAGCCTGTGATCTCCGAAGGCCAGAGCTACTGCATTGCCGTCTGTTTTGTCAAGTGCGAACACGTGCGGCCGTTCCCATCCGTTGCTACGTGAATGCTCCCGTGCTGTCACAAGCCGCACGTGTTATTGAGCAAGGCAGACAAGTAGTTCGATGGGCTAACGCCGTCGGTACTTGCCCTTGGGCATTGTTTATCAAGTGCTGATCGCCGAGAACATTGCGGTGACACGTTAGTATTTTTAAAGAAAGCGGCCTGCCGGTTACCTAGTCAGGTGATGGTACACTGAGCGACATAATAAAAGTTGCCCGAGACTACGTTGCAGTGCACCTTTCTGTCATCAAAACTTTAATAAACCGTGGAAATCAACATTACGGACACCTGTGCTTAAGAAACCAATGCAGCCAGCTGTATTCGAGTTTTTGTGTCTTTTTGCGTCTCGCCGATTAAGAGCACTAATTCACAAAACACTTTATCATAATAAATATAGTCAATCCTGCAAGAGTCATCGAAGATCCAATATTAAAGGGGCTGTCGACGGGACCACGACCAGCAGCAAGTCGGGCTGATGAGGAGGCGCAAATGTTAAAACAATACATGCGTGAACAAAAAAAAGGGAAAGTATCGATAACTGCAATGGGACTTGAACCACCAACCTCACCAGGTCATGCGTTGCTTTAACCAACGGTTTGAGATGACAAACAAGCCGGTTTTGTTCTGTTGTCACGCTAAACCTAAATTACATTTTTGTTCACTTTTTTGTTTGGACGTAATTTTAATGGCTTTTATCGTTATGTCTAGACGTACCGCTAGACACTCCCGACTATTCAAACAAAGCGCCTAACCGGAAAATGCATCATGCACACGTCACTTCCGTGCGGCGCAGCAGCCGTTTCTGTGTGGGGGTGGCTCGTGCGCCGCGCAGCGCAGCAGTCTTTGCCATTCTCTTTCTGTTCTGACAGCCATGGCCGTCACGTTCTTCCAAACTTTCTCCTCCTTCCTACTTCTAAACTCTGTTCTCCCCTCCCCCTCCCCCACCCTCCCTTCAATCCACTGAGCCCTGCTCTCGCAAGAAAATATAGCGTCTTTTTTTTCCTTTTCGTCAACCACAGATTCATCCATTCGGGGGAAGCTTGCATGCAGTAACTGGTTTGGAAGGCAAGTAAGGTTCGCGGAAACTCACCTCACCCTGAGCTACCGAGCACAATACAAAGCTTAGCTGAGAGTCATGAGAAGGCTAGATTACACAGCAAGATGAAAAGAGAAGATATTTTGCCTAGTGAAGTATTGCGAAATCCACTGAGTCAACCAACCTTTACCACCATCCCCACTTCTATTCGTAAATTGAAGTAATGAGAAAAGTCCAACCAAAACATATTAAAAAAAAACGACGTTTTGAAGCCAATCTCTCACCCCTGAAGAAGAAGCCGGACCAGCTTCGAAACATCGGTTTTTTTTTCTTAAATATATTTTGGTTGGAGTTCTCATTCCTTCAGTTTCTATCCAAAACAGACAGGCTTATGTCGAATGTTCACCTTTGATTCCTGTCGTACTTTATATCCTCGCTGCTCCGACAAACCCCCTCACACCGAAACATTTAGAGACGCAATGACAGGTGCGCAACCGTAAACAGCCCCTCTTCCTTCTTGGACGCTTATAGCTCTGGTGTGCGTGTGTGTGCGGGGGGGGGGGGGGGGGTAGAAAGAGGAGTACTGAAAGAAAAAAAAATGTTGCATCTTATTTTTTTTATTTGTTGCAGTAGGTAGCTCACGACCTAGTCATTATTTTCCTTTTGAGGAAGCAGCATACAATACAACACAATCATGCATACCTGTTGGATGCTCTCCCCTCGTTGGATTCTTTGCATGATCGTTGTGCTGTATCAATTTATAAATTGTCGGGTGTAATTAACGAGGTGCTTGACACGTCGGTATCCTTTCATAGTGTAACAAGATGTTCACGTGGTTCCCTCTAAAAGTATTCAAATTCCTCGTTAACTTAAGCTAATACTTGCACGGAAATTATTTGAATAAGTACTTAGAGAGCTGGATATGCTGTCTAAATGTTTCTCGCATCTGCTGAGCTTGCACTTAATGCTAGGACGCATTGCTTAAGGTATAAACCAACCACCTTCATTTAAACACATGCGAGGACTGGGATCAGCAGAATGCCAATTCAAAATTATTTAACTCACTAAAAAAAGCTTTTTAAAAAAAAACTTACAGTCGGTACACAGGGCAGGCTGCTAGCAAATGCGCTGAGTATATTTCTGTCTGGACACATCAATGTTAAATTTAGAACCTAATGCGCCACGTCATTGGCTCAACATCTTTCTACAGAACACCACAGTCTAGATGGTGATGGTCTACAAGTCCTTCAATTAGCAGAAGTTGTCTCTTACATTGCGCTTTACTTTTCCAAGTGTGTCAGGCGTATAGTCTTCTGTGCAGCCCCCTAGGATAGGGTTCATTGAAGGACTCATTGAAGAAGAGATACAAGCTAGTTTTCTCTTTGTACCAGCACCAAATAGCACATCGGTACTACTGCCGCATGCTCCACATAGCACCACTCAAAAATTTTATTCAGAAACGCCATGATGAAAAATAGCAATGGGCAAAGTGCATGGTTTAACCCAACACTCTCAAGACTAGAGGTTTTCGTTACACCGGACGCACAGACAATAGCGTAGAGGCTCTGCACTCGCCATTATCAAGAGTTGCAACATGCAACATCTGTGCACCGGGCCCCAGTGCATAAATTGGGTTTCCAGCAAAAATATGTCGCTTCTTTTAATCGAAATATGCCGGAGGGAAAATGCCTGGTGAGCGTATGCTTGGTAGTCTGTAGAAATTCCTGTAACTGCATTGATACGGCTTATTGTACACCATTCTATAGAAGCGGCAGCGGGGCTCAACCCTCATGAACCATGGAAAAGCGCAGACAGAGCACAAGTACTCCCACGATCAAACTTAGTTTTAAAAATGTTGGAGCGATTTCCTTTCATTTCTAGAGTATCATTTCTAGAAGTCATGCGTGGCGAATAAATATTTGTAGTACTTTAACCAAAATATATGCGAGTAACAACCGCCTCATACCTCGGCTATATAATGAAATATACTAGAATTACAAGACTTTCAAAGAAAAAAGCTATCGCATACACTGCACGCCTTTTTATAGTAGATGAACGTTACGTACGTCATTGCGACCACTACCAATTCCCTCTCGGAGTGAAACTGTGCGTGCTTATGTGCGTGTGTCTGTAAAAGATGTCAAGATCGGCCTCCCTGGCTGGACGCTGCTTGGACGCCGGGGTCGATAGCAGCTAAGCCTACCCTGATTTGTTCCGGATCAACGCTCTCGAGGTGCGCCAAAAGCGGCGACAACACGAAAGTCATACTTCGAATTCTTTAGGGCTGTTGGCTCCCTTCGTCAAAAACTCTTTGGACATGCCTGACTGACTGACGGCTTAGGAAGAGCTGTTTGAAATCGAGGCTGCTTGATTTGTTCGACGTGCCATGAGACGCGCTGAGCAATTAGCCGAGAGCTTGGGATCCCTCGTCAGGTATGTTTCCCACACTCTGTGGTGCTTGAGAGTCTTCCATTCTCACAAGCCCTAGCCTGCCTAGTGCTGCAGACTCTATTCTGTGCATGCGATGCAATGTTATTGCACTGTGATGTGTTGTGCGCATTATTGCACTGTGACCTACGTTATGTTTCTCTCTCGCCGTGTGACGAACTGAACGTGCATCTTCTCTCTTTCCTGGGTTGAAAAAAAGGCAGTGTTTGACTTTCTCTCTCTTTCTCCCTCTCCCGATTTTTTAATCCTTATTCGCTACGCCCTGCGCTCCCTGCTGGGCTGCAGAAATTAGGCGCCTTCTTCTAACCACTACCCCCACCCTTTGGCGGACAGAGATGAAGACAACAATTTCTTCGGACTGCCCTGAACTGAATGGACATGCAGTCTGTCAGTTTACAGTGATCTGCAAGGCGGCTTTCCTGTAAGGTTTGTTTTCCAACCAAAAGCTCTCGTTCACAGACTGCTTTTATTTCTCATTTTGAGCACGCGAGTACAACAAAATGTCACCTCTTCAAATTCCAGCGAAGGCACGCGAGCACAACAAGATCTCAAAAAAAAAAAAGGAATGGCAAAAACGAAATGAGTGAAAAAAGCAGCCTGTGAACGAGAGTTATTGGTTGAAAAACCAACCTTACAGAAAAGCTGCCTAGCAGATTATTGCAAACTGTCCATTGTTTTCTCCTGCAGAGAATATTTGGAAGACCAGGGCGTAAAGCGCGAGCACCGAGACGCTCCGAACCAGCTCTCAGAAGCTCCCATAAAGCTTCTATGATGCTACCATCAACGTATATATAATATTC